TGTGTCTGCAGTTCTAGAGTTCTCAGGTAGGGTGTTCCAGATTTTAGGGCCTTTGACATACATTGAATTTTTGTAAAGGTTTAGTCGGACATGGGGAATGTCGTAGAGATGTTTGTGTCTGGTGTTATGCCTGTGGTTTCTGTCACAACTATCAAGAAAGCATTTTAGGTCAAGGTTGATATTGGAGTTTAAGGTCATGTAGATGTAGATTGCACAGTAGTAAGTGTGGATGTACTGAACAGGGAGTAAGTTTAGATTTATGAAGAGTGGGGGTGTGTGTTGCCAGGGTTTTGATTTAGTGATTATTCTTACTGCAGCTTTTTGTTGGGTTATTATTGGCTTTAGGTGTGTTGCTGCAGTTGATCCCCAAGCACAAATAGCATAGGTGAGGTATGGATAAATAAGTGAGTGGTATAGTGTGAGAAGGGCATTTTGTGGCACGTAGTATCGTATCTTGGAGAGGATCCCAACTGTTTTGGATACTTTTTTGGTTATGTGTTGGATATGGGTGCTGAAATTCAGGTTGTTGTCAAGGTATAGGCCTAGGAATTTGCCCTCATTATGTCTGGTAATTAGAGTGTTGTCCATCTTAATGTTAATTTGTGCATCTCCTGCTCTGCTACCAAACATAATATAGTAGGTTTTGTCAGTGTTAAGCATAAGTTTATTGGCTGTCATCCAAGTCGATATTTTGATCAGCTCCTAGTTAACAATGGTGTTGAGGGTGGCAAGATTAGGGTGAGAGATGACATAAGTCGTGTCGTCAGCAAAGAGAATGGGTTTCAGGTGTTGGGATACGTTTGGAAGATCATTGATGTATATGAGGAAGAGCAGGGGACCAAGGACACTTCCCTGCGGAACTCCAGTATCAAGTGGCCGTGTTGTTGATGTTGTGTCTTTAATGGTGACATAATGATACCTATTAGTAAGGTAAGATTTGAAATAAGCAAGCGCATGGCCTCTTATACCGTAGTGGTCAAGTTTGTAGAGTAGGATGTCGTGGTCTACTGTGTCAAAAGCTTTTCTTAGGTCAATAAAAATTCCTAGTGGATATTCCTTATTTTCCAATGCTGTGTAGAGCAGATCTAGCATTTTTATGATTGCATCATTAGTGCTTTTATTTTTCCTGAATCCAAATTGGCAGGGGTTGAGTATGTTTTGTGCCGTTATAAAAAATGAATATAGTCCCCTGTGCACGGGTTTTCTCAAAGATTTTGGATAGCAATGGAAGTTTGATATTGGCCTATAGTTGTTTAAGTCTGTAGGGTCACCACCTTTAATGTATTGGTGTAACCCTTGCCATCTTGAGTAGTTTCGGGAAGGTGCTAGTTTTCTAGTGACTTGTTAAAAAGTAATGAAATAGCATGTGAAAGGACATGGGCTGCTCACTTGTACAGTAATGGTGGACATGAGACAGATTCCCTGAGTTATTTTTAAGTGACTTTATAATCTCGGTGACTTTCCGTGGGCTCAGTTGGTGCAAGATAGAAGGAATTTGGGAAATTCCCATCTAGGTAGTCCCCGGCATGGGCATTGGTATGTGGATTTTATTGGCGAGATTAGATCCTATGGTTGAGAAGAAGTCGTTATCTTGTTAGCTTTGTCAGTGGGATGTAGTGGTGTTTCATCAGTTTAGTTAGGACAATATTCTTGGTTTTTTTCAGTTTGTGGGTCCCTAGAATCTGAGAGAGTGTTTTCCAGGTCTTTTTTATAACTCCTCTTGTGTCTGTGAATCTACTGGAGTAGTATAGTTGTTTGGCTTTCTTTATTACTTTGGTGAGAACTGATGAATAGTGTTTAAGAATATCTTTGTGTATTAAGCCCTGTCTATATTGCTTTTCATATTAGTGTTTCTTGTCAATGGATTTCAGAATGGTGCTGGTTAGCCATGGGCAACCAAGCCGTTTGTTTGTGATCTGTTTCGTTTTTATAGGACAATGTTTGTTGTATAGTCTAAGTAATTTGTTTAGAAAAATGTCTGTCCAGTCATCAATACCATTGGCCTTGGAGAATTCTGTAGGCCAGTCAAGAGTCTCTAGGTCAGCTGTGAACTTCCTTATTGAGGCCTTGTCATGGAGTCTAAATGAGACTTTGTTGTATTCAAGTGGTGGTTTACCAATGTTTGTCAGGAGGAAGGTAGGGTAGTGGTCTGTAGTGCTATCTGTGATTATCCCTGATTTAAGGGGGGCTAGTATATTGGTCCATATGTGGTCTATTATGGTTGCACATGTCTCAGTGAGCCTGGTTGGTTTAGTTATTGTTGGTATGAGAAGTGTGTTGTTCATATTGTTGATGAAATCTGTTACAGGCTGATCATCTAGTATGCCAAGGTTGATGTTGAAGTCTCCAGCTAAGAGAAGGTGGTTCTTATTCATATGTCTGTTTGTTATTAGTGACTTTAATTTCTCACTGAAATTTGGGATGTTTGTGTGAGGTATCCGGTAAATGGCACCGATTGTTATAGGTGTCTTAAGGTTTTTTACAGTAAAATTAGCAAAAATGTATTCCCCATATTCATCACTAAAGCAAGTGGTGCTAATACAAGATAATTGGTTAGAGTAATAGATTGCAATACCACCCCCAACTTGGTTTGGTCTGCAGTTGTGAATTGCTGTGTATCCTGGTAGAGGGTAGATATCTATTGTGTCCTGCTTAAGCCAGGTCTCAGTAAGAATAATGCAGGAGAAGGGTGTCTTTAGTGATTCAAGGAGTGCCAGGAGGTCATCATAGTGTTTGCTTAAGGACCTGATGTTGTAGTTAAGTACTGATAGACTTTAGCATTGTTTAGGATAGTGCTGGCTTGTGATGCTGTGTAATAAAGGCAGTTACTTTCCAATAGGTTTTGACTGGGTGTCAGATTATGGAGGTTTAGATCAGGGTCAACGTGATCAATCATCTTCTAGGTTTAAATTATGGTTATTTATATCCTGAGTTGTGTGTTGTGTTCTAGTACTGATATCTGTAGTGGTGGGAAGTTTGGACAAGTATATAGCTAGAGTATTTTGGTCATATAGAGTATAGTCACTACTACACATAATGAAGTTGATGTTGTCTATGTGTTGTGCTGGAATGAACTAAAGTACAACTAGGTATAAACTAGTAATATAAAAATACAAATTTAAAATAGAACAAGACTCTCACTTGTAATTGCACTAAGGTCTAATAATGACTTTTGTGGAGTCTATGTTTTGAGCTAGAATGAGCTATAGTACAACTAGATTTAATCTAATAATATAAAAATACAAATTAAAAATAGCACCAGTCTCTCACTAGTAATTGCACTATGGTCTAATATAGTGAATTTGGTATTGACTATGTATTAAGCTAGGATGAGCTATAGTACAACTAGGTTTATACATGCGCATCCCGTGACGTCACACAGTCACTCGGTCTAGGGATCTTCTATATAAACACGTGGATGGTACTATGATATGCTATACAACACATGTAAGGGGATCAGCAACTATGCTGACACTGAGGGCCCCTGCGAACAGGCTGAGGGTCCCTGGGGACAGGCTGAGGGCCCCTGGGAACAGGCTGAGGGCCCCTGGGAACAGGCTGAGGGCCCCTGTGAACAGGCTGAGGGCCCCTGGGAACAGGCTGAGGGTCCCTGTGAACAGGCTGAGGGCCCCTGGGAACAGGCTGAGGGTCCCTGGGGACAGGCTGAGGGCCCCTGGGAACAGGCTGAGGGCCCCTGGGAACAGGCTGAGGGGCCCTGTGAACAGGCTGAGGGCCCCTGGGAACAGGCTGAGGGCCCCTGGGAACAGGCTGAGGGCCCCTGGGGACAGGCTGAGGGCCCCTGGGGACAGGCTGAGGGCCCCCAGTTTAAGTGAATTTTACATCATTATTTTTCATAATAAACGAAAAATATTTGAAATTACCCAAAAAAAAAATGAAATGAAAAAATCAGAATAAAACGTGTATGGGGCCCCTTCAGAAATTCACAGCCGGGCCCCTGACCAATGTACCGGCTGAACCCTCCCTCTCATAGGCCCTGGTGAGGGGGAATCTAACTGGGGTAGTGCCCAACATACTCAAGATAAAACACACTGTAGTTGAGGGTATTATTGGTGCAACACATCGCTCTGTACAGAGCTTTATCAAGGCTCTAACAGAGTCTTGAGTTGTTCCAGCCAGTCCCGTGGCTGGAACAACTCGCCAGTATGTGATAACTGGTTTAAAAAACAGACAGATTGAAGAATAGGACACTTGTCCAACATTTGAAAAAAATTATTGAGGAACGTTTCGCCAGCCAGTGGTTTCTTCAGTCCAATACAGAGAAGAACGATGGAAGTAGAGGAGGAGTTTGAAGTAATCAGTCCCTCAGCCTGGAGTCGATGTGTTCAGTCCATCAGTCTTGAAGAAAGTACACATTATGTTGAGAGAAGTGGCTATAAGCCACTCCAGGCTCAGGGACTGATTACCTCGAACTACTCTTCTGCCATCGTTTTTCTTTGTATTGGACTGAGGAAGCCACTGGCTGGAGAAACGTTTCCTCAATAAAGATTCTTAAATATTGTTCAAGTGTCTTAGTCTTCAACACACTTATAACCCACACTTAGGCAACGACGTTTATAACGACGTTTCGGTTCGTGCTGGACCAGTTGTGACGTGACACTGGCCCGTGCTGGACCACTTGTGACGTGACACTGGCCCGTGCTGGACCAGTTGCGATGTGACACTAGCCCGTGCTAGACCACTTGTGACGTGACACTGGCCCGTGCTGGACCAGTTGTGACGTGACACTGGCCCGTGCTGGACCACTTGTGACGTGACACTGGCCCGTGCTGGACCAGTTGTGACGTGACACTGGCCCGTGCTGGACCACTTGTGACGTGACACTGGCCCGTGCTGGACCAGTTGTGACGTGACACTGGCCCGTGCTGGACCGCTTGTGACGTGACACTGGACCAGGACAGACCGTAAATGTGAGGTTGATATTTTCTTCGCAAAACGCCAAATAAATGAGAAGTGTAGACAAAAAATAAAGAAGAACTCACGACGTATTTAGCGTCAGTGTTGACGGAACCGCCGGAGAAGGTGACATTCTTCCAGGTGACGATGATGACGTGCTTAGGCTTGAAGATGGTAGCACCGACGATGCCCTCTCTGATGTCCCACTTCACTCTTTCCCGGATCTCCACTCCAAACTGGTCCTCCCTGGAGGGCAGGTCACGCTCCAACCTGCATCCATGGAGAAGTGAGTCAGGGGGGGGGGAGTTTTACTCACCTCTTTGTGGGTACGAGGATCGAGACACAGCTGTTGGCCCCGACTGATAGACCACAGATGTCTGGCCTCTTGGGCCTCACCATGTCTACTCTTGAAACTGTGTATTGAATTTGCCTTAGCCACTACCTCGACCAGGTCAATCCGCTTTGAGACTAAAGAAACACTTCCTTACACCACTATGTGTTTCCGGTTCCACCTGTGTCCCCTGGATCCTTAATTCTAACATTCTCTCCCTATTGGCCTGGAGTATACCTATCCCTCTCAGGATTTTACAAGTTGTAATTACATTTCCTTTATCACATTCTCTGCCCTGAGGTTGTTGTCAGGGTCACCTGTGTCTTCCATATACCACAACACTTCCACTAACAGCTCCTAAAGTGACTATTTTTTTGTCCTTGTTTGTGTGCATCACGCACGTGTCTTCCCGTCCAGTGTCAACAACAAACTAGAATAAAACAACTTGTAAACAAACATTGTTGTCTATGTGACCTAAAATTCACAATTATTTTTGAAATACAAACAACGACGAAATATAATTCATCATAATAATTCAAGCTACATGTTATCAGTATTGTTTTACACCAATCAATTATACACGCTAACACCTGTTATATTATTACTATTATTATTATTATTATTATTATTATTATTATTATTATTATTATTATTATTATTGTTGTTATTATTATTATTATTATTATTATTATTATTATTATTATTGTTATTATTATTATTATTATTGTTATTACTATTATTATTATTATTGTTATTATTATTATTATTATTATTATTATATTATTATTATTATATTATTGTTATTATTTTTAAATTATTATTATTATTATTATTATTATTATTGTTATTGTTATGTTAATTGTTATTATTATTATTATTATATTATTATTATTGTTATTATTATTATTTTTATTATTGTTATTTATTATTATTATTATTATTGTTATTATTATTATTATTATTATTGTTATTATTATTATTATTATTATTATTTTTATTGTTGTTTTATTATTATTATATTATTATTATTATTATTATTATTATTATTATTATTATTATTGTTATTACTATTATTATTATTAAATTTGTTATTATTATTATTATTTTTAAATTATTATTATTATTATTATTATTATGTTATTATTATTATTATTATTATTATTATTATTATTGTTATTGTTATTGTTATTGTTATTATTATTATTATTATTATTATTATTATTGTTATTATTATTATTATTATTATTATTGTTATTATTATTATTATTATTATTGTTATTATTATTATTATTATTATTGTTATTATTATTATTATTATTATTATTATTATTGTTGTTGTTGTTAATAGTTTAAGTGTGAGATGAGATCATCAGTACACAAGACAATGTTTGTATCAGAGTTATAAGTTGTGCAGCTAAGTACTTCACCCTGGCAGCAGGTGTAACGTTTCCACCTACAAGTACACTCAGAGACAACACAATAAGTGTCAGGGGCCCAAGACTGTTCAACTGCCTCCCAGCATACATAAAGGGGATTACCAATAGACCCCTGGCAGTCTTCAAGAAGACACTGGACAGGCACCTAAAGTCAGTACCTGACCAGCCGGGCTATGCTTCGTACGTAGCTTTACGTGCGGTCAACAGTAACAGTTCGGTTGATCAGGCCCTGATCCTGCGCGAGGCCTGATCATGGACCGGGCCGCGGGGGTGTTGACCCCCGAACCCCCCTCCAGGTATACAACAGGTATCCCCAGTGACATGAGCTGATATACTTTAGAGTCAATATAGAGAACAGTTCCTCGACGCAGCTTCATGATAAGTTATGGTATAACGTGAGCAACACTACATGGTTTCGCAATAACGATAACTTCATTTTGTGGATGTGATAAGAAATGCAACAAAAAATTGATAATATCCATCCTAACCTAACCTAAAACAACCTAACCCAACCTTACTCTGCCATCGGTAGATGTGCAACTGGTGCGTCTTTGTTTCTTCTTCTTCTTCTTCTTCTTCTTCTTCTTATTATTATTATTATTATTATTATTATTATTATTATTATTATTATTATTATTATTATTATTATTATTATAAACAGGAAAAATGGTAAACCAGTAAGGGTCATATAATAACAGAGGACTGGGGGGGGGGGGTGAGGCTTGATTCAAAGAGAAAACTTGATCCAGCTCCTTAATCAAGATCCCCGATGCCAGCATCAAGATCCCTCACACTATTATCAAGAATCCCCCACATCAACATCAAGAACCCCATACCAGCATCAAGAACCCCACATCAACATCAAGAATCCCCCACACAACCCAGCATCAAAAACCCCACATCAACATCAAGAACCTCCATCCTGACATCAAGAACCCCCTCACCAGCATCAATATCCCCACCCTGGCATCAAGATCCCCTCACCAGCATCAAAATCTCCCTCACCAGAATCAAGATCTCCACCCTGGCATCAAGATCCCCCTCACCAGCATTAAGATCCCCACCCTGGCATCAAGATCTCCCTCACCAGCATCAAGATCCCCACCCTGACATCAAGATCCCCCTCACCAGCATCAAAATCCCCATCCTGGCATCAAGATCCCCCTCACCAGCATTAAGATCCCCACCCTGGCATCAAGATCTCCCTCACCAGCATCAAGATCCCCACCCTGACATCAAGATCCCCCTCACCAGCATCAAAATCCCCATCCTGGCATCAAGATCCCCCTCACCAGCATCAAGATCCCCACCCTGATATCAAGATCCCCTCACCAGCATCAAGATCTCCATCCTGGCATCAAGATCCCCCTCACCAGCATCAAGATCCCCATCCTGGCATCAAGATGCCCCACACCAGCGTCAAGATCCCCATCCTGGCATCAATATCCCCCTCATCAGCATCAAGATCCCCACCCTGGCATCAAGATCCCCCTCACCAGCATCAAGATCCCCACCCTGACATCAAGATCCCCCACACCAGCATCGAGAGCCCCCATCCTGGCATCAAGATCCCCCTCACCAGCATCAAGATCCTCACTCTGGCATCAAGATTTCACCAGCATCGAGAGCCCCCACCCTGGCATCAAGATCCCCCTCACCAGCATCAAGATCCCCACCCTGACATCAAGACCCCCCACACCAGCATCAAGATCCCCCTCACCAGCATCAAGATCCCCACCCTGGCATCAAGACCCCCACACCAGCATCAATATCCCCACCCTGACATCAAGATCCCCCTCACCAGCTTCAAGATCCCCACCCTGGCATCAAGATCTCCCACACCAGCATCAAGATCCCTCACCAGCATCAAGATCCCCCTCACCAACATCAAGATCCTCACACCAGCGTCAAGATCCCCTCACCAACATCAAGATCCCCACCCTGGCATCAAGATCCCCCTCACCAGCATCAAGATCCCCTCACCAGCATCAAAAATCCCCCACACCAGCGTCAAGATCCCCTCACCAGCATCAGGATTCTCACCCTGGCATCAAGATCCCCCTCACCAGCATCAAGATCCCCACCCTGCATCAAGATCCCCCCTCACCAGCATCAAGATCCCCACCCTGGCATCAAGATCCCCCCTCACCAGCATCAAGATCCCCACCCTGGCATCAGATCCCCCCCCACCAGCATCAAGATCCCTCACACCAGCATCAATATCCCCCTCACCAGCATCAAGATCCCCCACACCAGCATCAAGATCCCCACCCTGACATCAAGATCTCCCTTACCAGCATCAAGATCCCCCCTCACCAGCATCAAGATCCCCCCACACCAGCATCAAGATCCCCACCCTGGCATCAAGATCCCCCCTCACCGCATCAAGATCCCCACCCTGACATCAAGATTCCCCTCACCAGCATCAAGATCCCCACCCTGACATCAAGATCCCCCTCACCAGCATCAAGATCCCCACCCTGACATCAAGATTCCCCTCACCAGCATCAAGATCCCCCTCACCAGCATCAAGATCCCCCAACCAGCATCAAGATCCCCACCTGGCATCAAGATCCCCCCCCACCAGCATCAAGATCCCCACCCTGACATCAAGATTCCCCTCACCAGCATCAAGATCCCCACCCTGACATCAAGATCCCCCTCACCAGCATCAAGATCCCCACCCTGACATCAATATTCCCCTCACCAGCATCAAGATCCCCCTCACCAGCATCAAGATCCCCCACACCAGCATCAAGATCCCCACCCTGGCATCAAGATCCCCCCTCACCAGCATCAAGATCCCCACCCTGACATCAAGATTCCCCTCACCAGCATCAAGATCCCCACCCTGACATCAAGATCCCCCTCACCAGCATCAAGATCCCCACCCTGACATCAAGATTCCCCTCACCAGCATCAAGATCCCCACCCTGACATCAAGATTCCCCTCACCAGCATCAAGATCCCCCACACCAGCATCAAGATCCCCCACACCAGCGTCAGTACACCTCCCTGGAGGAGTATGGCTAACATGGAGGAGTAAGATGTAAAGAAGACATGTCGTGTAGTGTTGTCAGTGTTATCTGCTCACACACTGCTCACTCTACCTGACAATCTTTCACCACAGCAGTGCGATAAAATGACATTCCTGTGGACCCCACCTGTCTGCATAACACAGCAGAGCAGGTGTCTGCTCTCTCAGGTCTACAAAACACAACACAGCAGGTGTCTACTTTCCTCAGGTCTACACAGCACGTAGCAGGCATCTTAAAATACTTCAGATTCTTGTCTCCTCCAGCTGCTTCATCGTCCAGGTTATTAGTACTATTGTGTCACAACACAGGTAGACAGTATTTTTGTCACCTTGCAGGTATGTAATACTCTTGACCGCCAATATGGCCGACTTGTCCCTTCTGACGTCACATCCAAACACTATACTCTAGAGGACTTGCGTTTTGGCTTAGCACTCACTGAATTGTGTTTACGAGGATTGAGACTCG